CTTTTTTTTTCTTAGCTAGGCTATAATATCACTAAGGAATACCAGTGACTATTTGGGAATTGTCTGCTAGACTATATGAAAAGGGTTTATTTGAAATGCATTTATGTCTGTTTGTTTGTTTTTCTGAATAGAAAACAAACATTAACTTGAGTAAAGCTGCTTTCAAGAAAATTTGCCCCATATAATTTATGATTCCATTTTAATTATTTTTAAGAGTAATTATAAAGCACACAATTGGCCATTTAACATTTTCGTGTTTTTTCTCACTTATTTTTTTATTTTTGTGGTCACAAAGTGCTTTCTCTTTTCATCTTCATGTCTCTCTAACATGCTTTGCTCTACTTTTTATGATGCATAGTGTATCTACTATCATTGTAATCAAATAAGAAAGTTTGAGCATATTCCATTAATATTCCACTCAATAATTGCACTGAACAAGAATATAGGCATATATACTGCTTGTTGCTTCACACAAAAAAATAGCCTAGTAAGATCATTCTGATCAAAGAGATACTGTACTTCCTTATCCGACCACACATGCCATTCTGTAAACATGTGACTTATGTGACCAAACCAGCTGACTGTATCATTCTTATCAATGGTTCTTGTGAGAGAACTCATTGTGCTTTCACCTCTCAGGCTGAACAGCTTAATGCTTTCTTCCAGCAGGCCCAGATCACATCATTTGATCACTCAGCAGTTTTATGTCCAGAAATTATTTGTTTAGACATTCTTTTAATATCATCGAAGATTCAAAAACAACTGGATCTGTATATTCATAATTTGTAGCCTACTAAAAATATCAGCATCAGCCCAAGTTGCATGATAGCAAAAACACTTGCTCAGTGGGATGTTGCTTGTGGCTTAGACTGCCCTCCATTGGCTATAGACTAGTAATGTTTATTGTCTTTAAACACTCTCCTCGTGAAAAAATATTATTATTACAAAAGTAGCATTATGTTAATGCAGATATGAACTAAAAGAGAACACTGGCATTGTTGAAATATGTTATTGACAAAAATGATTACATGGATATTCAGCAGGCGGTTCAGGGCTTTCATAGACCTGCTGAGAAATGTAAGTATTTGACACACACTAATGTTCCAAAGTTGTAAGATAAAAAAATAAAAAATAAAAACATGAAAGTCTGCTATGCTCACCAAGGCTGCATATATTTGATCAATACAATACAAACATAAATACTGTTAGATAGTATTACAATTTAAAATAATTGCTTTCTATTGAAACATTATAAAGTGTAATTTATTCCTGTGATGGCAAAGCTGAATTTTCAGCATCATTACTCCTCAGTGCACATGATCCTTAAAAATCATTCTTATATGCTGATTTTCTCCTCAGTAAACATTTTTTATTATTATCAATGTTTAAAGGATTTTTTTTCAGGAGTTTTTGATTTTTTGATTGAAAGTGTAAAAGAACTGCATTTATTTTGATTATTATTATTATTCCTGAATAAAAGTCTTAATTTCTTTTAAAAAAAAAATGTTTTAATGGTAGTGTAAGTTTCATGTAAAAGTAAAGCCGATTCAAATGAGACTAAACAGCAGAGGTGTAATTTTGAGTAATACTTCAGGTTAATTTACTCAAGTTCTATTGACACCCTAAGACTGTACTATTACTCATTTATATTTACATTTCACAATGATTTTTTGAAAGTCATCGTGACTAAAATCTTTCCTCTTTCCTAACAATCTGATCAAATTACACTGCGAGCTGAATTTCTAAATCCAATGACATCTAGGCTTATTTAATTCTAAACTGCATCTACTCACCTGGTCACGATCAATCGACTCAACTCAAATCTCAACTAAAACCATTTGTTTAAAATCTGGTATGTCCTCGAACACTAAAGTCATGCGGGATTCTTTGAGAGACACAAGGGGGCCCTAAAAAGGCGGACATTGACGTATGGTCAAAAGACGTCCCAAGACGTCAGATATATGACGACTTAGGATGAGACTGTGTTACACAATAATATCTGTCAATATTTTTTACACCTCTGTGTTTCATGCAGTCAGTGTAAAAGGGCATGGAACAAGGAAGTTTAAGCACACAAAAAAAATCTAAATGTCAAGCACATCGAAAGCCTTTCATTATCTGCACATTCATTATTCATGGGAAAAAAAACATAGACTGGAAAAAAAACACATGCATTTTATTAAAGAAGGGATGATATGCAAAGATCCAAAGGATGTTAACGTAAATATAGCGCACTATTATAATAAATGTGATAAATGTATTGGCACACATACATGGTTGATAAATGCATGCAGATAAAGATATGTGCTTGCGTTGTAGCCTATATTCACTCTTTTGTTTGTTTATTTATGGTAAATGTAAATCATAAAAGTAAAAGTGTGAATGAATAAAAGGGTAGCCAGATTTCTTCAATTTGATCCATGCACAATATTTCCATCAATCACATAATTATCTTTTGGCTCACTAAGCTCTATGAACTTGCATTTTTAGGAAAGTAACAGAACATGACACTTAAGTGAGACAGCACATTTATGCAGTAATTTGTACACAAGCAGTGTAAAAATCTTCTTTTGCCAGATCTTTTGAGATTTCTTTAAGGAGAGGGGACATAGCCTTTGTTGTTCCTGGGAAATGATGTCTAGGGAGGCCTATAAGTGCTCACCGTGAGTACACAGGGGTAAATGGAGGAAAATGGGGAGAACAACAGCATGGGGCAGGGTCGTCGGAACAGCTGTAGGAATGATAATGAAACCATGGCAACTGGGTCAAAGGTAGTTTGATAGACCAACAAAAAGAGTCTTGACCCTTACCATCTGGAAGCCTTTAGATTCCCAGTGAATGAGCACATGGTGGGCATACAGACACCTGACATTTGAAGGCAAATGTTACTTCAGTCTTGATTAAAGTATAGCATCATAAAGCAAGGTGCATGTTATATTAGCATATCATATTTGTGTTCTGATGGTCAGTTAGCGCTGTAATCTAAATTATATAAACTTTCAACATTTCTTCACCTTCTTGTAGTGCATTTTAAATCTTTTTTTTAAAAAATCTGCACCTGCATATTAATAAAATGAAATACCACTTAAGTGTAATAAAAACTTTCATGACAATGTCCCCTAATACACTTCAATAATATTTTTTTAAAGGTGTGCTTTGTTATCATGTTAACTGTCAGTTCCCAGTAGTTGGAAACTTAGCATGCTTTTCTAGCAATTTTTGGTTCCAAATTATTTTGTAAAATATATATTTTCTATGAAATAAAAATGTTTAGTTCAGTACATTTGCTTTACAGCAAACTTAAACTTCTATTAACTTTAGACTTTTTTATTTTTTTGAAGTGATTTTTTCAAGTGTCTTTGTTGAAAAGAGACCAACCTGAGGTTTAAGTTTAAGTTCAGATCTATATGTTTAAAAAGGGTGGTGACATGTAACAGGTTAAATCATTATGTTTTAATAATCTTTTTTTTGTGCCTTAAAGAAGTACACTTATTTTGATTTGTGACTAACCAATTAAAGCTTACTAGGTACTTGTTTATATATATATATATAAACTTTTGGGATTTGTGAAGCCACAACACGCACAACCTTGAGGCGGATGGGCTGAAACAGCAGAAGGGTAACACTCATCTCCACTACAAATAGGAAAAAGAGGCTCCAATTTGCAAGAGCTCATCAAAATTTGACAGTTGAAGACTGGAAAAAGAGTCAGAATTTGGCATGAACAGAATGAGAACATGGATCCATCATGCCTTGTTACCACTGTGCAGGCTGGTGGTGGTGGTGTAATGGTGTGGGGGATGTTTTCTTGGCACACTTTAGGCCTCTTAGTGCCAATTGGGCATCATTTAAATGCCACGGTATGGGTTTAATGGCATGCCTAAGTATGGGTTAGGGTTAGGATCTCAACCCAATAGAGCATCTTTGGGATGTGGTGGAACGGGAACTTCAAGCCCTAGATGTGCATCCCAAAAATCTCCATCAACTGCAAGGTGCTATCCTATCAATATGGGCCAACATTTCTAAAGAATGCTTTCAGCACCTTGTTGAATCAATGCCACGTAGAGTTAAGGCAGTTCTGAAGGGGGTCAAACACAGTATCACATTTAATAGTAAAAAAAAATAGTATCACATTGTTCCTAATTTACATTTAAAGTTGATATTTTAAATTGACTAAATTTGCTATAAACTATAACATTTACATTTCATTGAAATCAACATACATGGAATTGCATACCACTTTATGTATAATTCTCCACTTCCAAACTGTCAGATTTCAGTGGAAATAGCCTACATAAATACCCTCCATTGCAAAATGGCAAAATGTCAAATGTGTCACTTAGCTGGAAATACGTGACACTGTTCGTCAAATCAGACATGCAAATGCCCTTTTAACAATAAAAGTGAAGTGAAAAAAACAAAGGCTAGGGAACAAAGTGAAAGGTCAGGGTCTTATAGTCTTACAAGCAGGTAGACACATTTCAAACCATACATGAAAGAGGAAATGTGGTTTCACTATTTCCAAAATTCGTGTAGGTATCAGCTGATCTTGCCTTGGTATCTGATCTTATTAAATTTATAGTACATGTATTTCCCTTCCTGTTAAGAGCGATACTGTGAGCAGGAGAGAAAGCAGCAGTGCTGTGATGAACAGATGAGCATCAACCAGTTAACTCATGCTTTCTGTATGACTTTAATACGACTTCAGCTTGATATCCACATCCTTACATAAGGAACTATTTAAAATGAAATGAAATTGTTATTATTTTTTTTCCAATACAATAGTTTTATGAGTGTATTGTTGTGGTTTTGGATCATCATAAAACAAATTTGATCAATGAACTACTCTCATCATGATATTTAACATCTAATATTGAATATAATTTACAAAAGGTATTCATTTATTTTACATATTGACGTATTTAGATATCATTAATGCAAGAAAATGATACACTGTACCGGGTGACCTTGTAAATGTCACGTGCTAAGAGGAAAAGAGAAAATAGGAAGTGGAGAGGTTTAAAGGTCTCAGAGATGAACAGCCAACATGCCTTTCATCATGTATGCCCTGACTGGACCTCAATGGCTGGACCTTGTTTTAGCGATGTCCCTTCTCTGTTGGGCAGACTGTAAGTTCAATAGCTTGTTTCTTGCACTGTAATTGAGCGTTTTTAATATTATCTGCAAACTTTTTATACAAACAATTCTTTGGCTTCAAATCAAGCTTGGTATAAAGTAAGTCGTTGACAGCTTGCATGAAAACAATGAACCATCCATGTGAAGTTTCACCTTTACTGTCTTTAAGGTAGCCCTTCTCAGCAGGATGATATGGCTCCCCTCGAAGTACAATTCCATTCTTTGGACTTCAGAAATGTCTTGCGCTGGAAACATCCAAACAAAGCTGCCAAAAACCTGAAATATTTTGTTCAGTATAAAATGTAAGTGCACAACTTTCTTGTCAAAAATCGTAGCTCATGTTTAAATGGTATGATGAATCCTCACATTTTTATTGCAATGGAACTTTTCATGTTGGTGACCTCTTTTGATTTTAGATACGGAGACAAGGAGTGGACTAATTCTGATCACTGTCAAGGAATCCACAAGCTGGAGTGTGACCTGAGCCAGGCGACATCAGATCCCAGAGAATGGTACTATGCCCGGGTCCGTTCCCTCTCCCCTGAGGGCAACTCATCATGGGTCCTTAGCCACAGGTTTTACCCTCAGTGGGAAAGTGAGTATGCTACATTGTTTTATACATTGTCTATATCTGAAATGAAATTATCTTCCATACATGTGATATGGTTGATTTTGGTATAGAGGTGCCAAATGAAGATTACACTATAACCTTTGTGATGGCAATGGCCTAACATAATTTTTTTCAGTGGAAGTCCTCACCTAATAACTTTCTCTAAATTACAGCCAGATTCAGCCCACCCCAGATAAAGACGACTGTGACAGGACAGACCATTACAGTTCAGATCCGACCTCCGAGGACACCACTGCGAGGACAGAAGGGCAGAATACGAGTGACAAAACTGCAGAAACTGATTTTCAGAATATATTTAATGCGCGATGGCATTGAAGAGGTAAGAAATTATAGATTTAAACACATAGTTGTTTGGGGGGTTGGGTGATGCCCTTCATAAGTCATTAGGGACCCTCCATAAGAATTTATTTTTGGATTTTGGGGTGTCCCCGACAAATATATTTTAACATTAAAATTATCTGAATAAATCAGCCGTTTGAATGAATCGTTTAAATGAATGACTCAATGACTCGCTCATTAAGACGGCCGCCTGCTGCCTCCTACTGGCAGTTTAGTTTCATTCTTTTCAACGCTCCTTATTTGTAAAAATATTTTAAACAATCTCAAAATCTCATTTAATACAGTTATCATTTTTCAATGTAAATTATTTCATTTGATTGGTAAAAGCCGGCTAGGCCGTCTTATTATTTTAATTGAATGTAGCCTGTTAATAAAATGTAGGAATTTGAAATGAAATTTAGAGCATATATTAAATAAAATTAGGGGGAAAATGGCCTTTATAAAAGTTACAAAAATTATTCAGATAAGAGTGTTTTCAAAAATGAAACATTGACAATTTAAGTTTAAAGGGAGTAAAGCCTCTGTTTTATAAAGGAAATGTATTTTTGCCAAAAGAAGTCATGTAGTGTGAACTTTTAATTTAAATCAATTTTAATTTTAAATCGGCCTACTTCAGTGTGATCCGTTACTTAATATTATCATAATATTCATATTATCATGCTTAATTGAATAATTGTGTGATGTGATGATCAGATCCAGATATCTAAATCAAAGAATATGGTTGGTGGGTGGATTATTATTTATTTTTAACAGATTTGAGTGACTCAAAGTGCACCAGATTAATGAATTTATCTTTAAAATGTACAAAATATTTGTCTAGATCATTTTGCTTACAGTAGGCTACATAGTGTAGCAAGGTAGTCTTCAGAATTTTTCATCATTTTATAATTGTATACTTTTTAGGGGGCCCCCAAGAGTCATAAGGCATTTTGAACCCTAGAGAGAACTATGAGATCAATGATCTAGTAGATATGACCATGATGGTCATATAAAGTGAAGGAGCACTATAAACATATCACACAGTCTAGAGTGGTGTTGTTCAGATTATATACACAACTTCAGTTCAATAAAACAACAGAAACAACTATGTAATATTCTGAGAGAGCAAATGATTAGATGCTTTTTTTTCTTTCTTTCTTTCTTTTTTACAATTTGCAACATTGAAGCAACAAAATCTGCATAGGAAGATTAACATGTGCTGAGCAAATTGTGCTTCATTTTGCCCATTTCCAACCCGGAAATGTTCTTGCAGTCAGCTCGGTTATTATAATTTTGAATAATTATTATGAATGACTTCAAAACTCCTCAAATGCAGCATGCTAAACATTCACAAAAATCATCTTTCCCAAACAGGAAGTTCATGAAACAGACAGTTGCTCCAAGGAGCTTGTGATTGAGTCGCTACGTCCGAAAACCACCTACTGTCTTCAGGCTCTGTCCGTTACTCCTCGCTCAGGCCGTAAAAGCTCCCGGAGTTCCAGCACCTGCGTCAACACTCATTGAGGGTTTAGTGTCTCCCACAGGTAAGCCTTACGTAACATGTGATATGGTTTCTTTATTAAGGGGAACACCTGAGATAAATGACGGTGTCCATGACAAGTTTCCGCCTTTGTACTTTCTCCAAGTTGCCTTCAGGGCATTGATGGTTGTTAGACAAAAAGACGACAAAGTGAGCACAGACACGCTATTTGTTATTTGAGACAGAGATTGCACCCTTGAGACCCTCAGATCAAGTTCCAACCACCTTAGGATAAATTAGAGTGATTGTCTGTCTACTTTCCTGAGAGTATCAATCTTGAGAATTTTGAGTGCTCTCTTCTGCCACTACAAGATGCACTATAGTATTTTTGAAGCAATTTTTATTCATATTATTTCCAGTTTCGATTATAACATTTTTTGTTTTATCTGCCTGCAGGGTGAGGCTGCTTCTGGACCTTTGTTCAACGTGAAAATTACACACATGCACACTACATAGTGGGATGTCTGCAAATGTTCACCAAGGTCATGTTTGCTATAAGACAGACTTTAAGCCTGGCCTAGCCTTTTGGTATCATTAAAGCTGAAGTGTGTAATTTCTGTTCCACTAGCACAAAGGCAATGTCAAAAATAATGATTGTTTGCAAACGGGTTTTCTGAACACTCATCTTTTATTGGCTGGACATACGGATAGTTCCACCCCCAAATCACACCATGGATTGAGCAACAGCAGTGTGGAAGGTGTGTCCCCGTACACACTTCAGCTTTAAGGCTATGAATTAAAGGGATTCACATTGAAATTAAATTTTGGTATGTTTTAACTTACCTCAAAGGCATCCAAGATGTAGGTGTCTTTGCTTCCACAGTAGTTTCAACTCGTAAATGTAAGTACACATGGCCTAAGACACGAAACGAGCGGTTTGTGTGAGAAAACAAACAGTATTTATAAAATTTTTACCTCTTGTAACCACAGCCACAAAGCGCCCACACCCTCAGATCACTTAGACGTGGCTGTGGTTACAAGAGGTAAAAACGATATAAATACTGTTCGTTTTCTCACACAAACCGCTCGTTTCGTGCCTTAGGCGATCAATGTGTCTTTACATTTACGAGTCATTAAATCATGTTTAATTTGGACTTCTCTGTGCATGCTCTTTGAGGTGGTGACCATAGACCTGCATTATATGACTGACAGACAAGAACGCTTTGACCTAAAAATATCAAAATCAAAGACACCTACATCTTGGATGGCCTTGAGGTAGGCTAAAACATACCAAAAATTAATTTCAAAGTGAACTATCCCTTTAATAGTCATGTTTAGGGCTGAGCAACGAAACACCAGACAGAAGTAGTTGAACATGATACACAATGATGGAATACAACAAATAAATGTTTACAGCACATGACAGAAAATAAAATGTAAAGAAATGATGAAAGAGAAACAATGCCTAATGTTGTATAAAGGTTTTATTGGTCTCATGTGTAAAGTAAAATAGTAGAATTTGATATAAATGAGATGATTCTGGGCTCAGCCCTTTCATTGAGCCCTCCTGGAGCAAATAACCAGTCCGCATTTAGAACTGAACAGCTTTTAACATTAAATTGGTCACATGGGTAAAACATTAGATAAAAACAGAGCTCAGTACAACATAGACTGTGCAGACACTAAAAAGCAAACCCAGTAAAACTATTTGCAGTGCATGTGAACCATGTAACAATCTCTCAAAGTCATTTTACAATCCAAGACTTCAACTTTGGTGAAAAATGAATATTCTGTTGCTCCAAACTCTTTTACACATCTGTGTCCTTCATGATTGGGAATCAGTCCAAATGAAACTGCTTTAAAAGTTTGATCTCTGCAGTTCTCCGATAAGAGGAGAAACGATTGTGCTTAGACAATAACACCAAATGAATTCCTCAAAAACGGGCATCATATTATTGTTACTTCATCATAAAAGTAATGTTCATTGTAAGACATAAAAAAGAGGCACCACAATGTCTCTTGAGTCCTTTGTTCTTATAAATCTTAATGTGCAGTTGTATAAAGAAAGCAGAAAACAGTTGTATAATCTAAACTAGTAGTAATCATTACGTCTTTATATATAATAACAGCATAAATGATTGAAAAACAATCATCACATGACTCGAAACTTCCAGTGCTACACAACATATTTTGTTCTTCCACATAATGGAATATATTTTAAACTGGAATCATTGTGAAACCCTGTGATCATTTATGAACAAACAGCACATTTCATCTGAATATAATTACTGTAAATACAGTAAATAATTCTAGTTCACACTACAAGGAAAAGCTTTTCAATACTGTATGGAAGTTGTTTCTCAAACACATCTTTTCCAACAAACTAAGGATTTTAGTACTCTTCCATGTGACAGGCTATAACCACTAAATGTTTCAATTTGTTCAATAGTGCATGTTCCAAGTCACAGTCTCCACATCTTGAAGATACAAAACAGTATTTGTACATGTCACACAGAGAGATCAGAAAAGCAAGATACTGAACTACTTAAGTCCACAGTAGGCAATGAACAAGTTAATAATTCAGTCTTCTACACAGGGTGATTGAGAAAACGGTCTAGCAGCTAGAGCACTGGGGTTTTGCGGCAGAAGTTTAAATCACTAAGATACAGTATAATGCTGAATTATATTTTAATAATAACTCTAACCTTTCTGTAAACCTACTGCAGCTTAAACTCAAAATCAAGCAACTCAGATGTTAACAGGTTTAAGTAGCATGCTGGTGCTTCAATGAATTTATTAGTGGATTTAAAGTATAATGTAATATTTTTTAAAAGTTTTTTTAAGGAAAGGAATGATCTGTAAATAAAAAGCAATAACGATTGACACCATCAATATAGTTCATTCATCACTATTTGCCAGTATAATGCCATGTTTATATATATAAATATATTTTTGCTATTTTTGATCAACCATACTGCCATAATTAGTTCTAAAAGACATAATTAGTTCAAATAAATTTGAATTAAAGCTAAAAAAAAGGGGAGAGTATCCAATATAGCTTTAAGGGGAGAAAACAAATAATAGATTAGCAGAAATAAATTGATTATTGCAATGCTGACCACAGCATGCTTCAGGAATCAATTTCAAAAGGTCATTAAAAAGAAAACCTTTTTTTTTTTTAAATATCATGTATTAGTAAAGGAAAAATAATGAGCTATGTATGGGAATTCTAAGCTGCTCAATGACAGCACTGTTTGAGCTAGTCTGTTAGTTTGGTCAATCGCATCTGCGATGATTTGTACAACTATTAATAATTTTACTATAAAAACACTGTGGGCCCTGTTTATGCCTTTCATATGACATTACATGATACAGAATCAAATGACAAAAACGTCTGAACACTAAAAAAAACAAAACGAAACAAACAGTTTCTAACCGATTCTGAGATTTTGTTCATGTGACTGCAATTCTACTGGAAGTTCAATGGAATGTTGATCATTCACTTCATATACGTCACTTCATATTAAATTACATATCAAAGTAAACAGCATATAAATAAAGGTTCTACAGAATATCTCCAGCAGCAATGGCTCAAATATTGGTCAAAGGCCATGATGTTAATCTTGGAAAAACAAAACGACTAAATGTCACGTGGAACAGATTCAAGACGAAAGTAAGATTGTGTTCCAGATGCAGCTTATTTCAGGATAAAAACTCTTTCTCCAGTTCGAAGACAGATGGCCGACCTGGTGTGCTCTGTATTCGACAGAGGGGAACCGTGCTGTCTCGTTTTTGACCCTCTGTGTCCATGTCCAGTAAAGAGCAGCCCATTTTGACCTCTGAGGGGAGGACCACGTCCAAGTTTTGGGCACTCTTCTCCCCAGAGTAGTGCCCGAGTGAATAGCTCTTGTTGCGATTCTTTAGAAGACCCCAGGAGTGAGATTTGCTTCTTAGAGAAAGCGGTCTGGGTCTAGATACTGCTTCCTTCTCTTGAGCAGGCTCTCTGTCAGCCTTCTTTTTTGCGGTAGTGGTAGCGGAATCAGTTGGACTGGCCTGGCAGTTACTGCTGCCGTTAACTAAAGGAAAGAGAGCAACATGGTGAATAATAAGCAAATCTGTATCAGCTGGTATTCGATTTATTTCATCTGTTTTTACATTCAGATAAAATACAACCGAACCGATACAAAACCATTTTAAATGGTACAAGTGAAATACCTTTTATAATGTACAGCATGGAAATTTTATTTTAGATAACAATGTTATTAAATTAGTAGGGTTTTTATTAGATGCCAGCAATGGTAAAAATAGATGCATGCCTTCTAATATTTGATATTTTAAATCAGTATTGTATCAGTATCTGCCAATATCCAGTCATTTTACACACTTGTTTCATTTTTAAATGTAGACAAAACACAAGTTCTCTTGAGCGAACAAATACTGAATTAATAATCTAAAATATCCATTTTACATTCTGTAAATAATGTTGTGTGCGGTCTAAATTAACTTATAGCATTTAAAACAATTCATTTTATATTGATAACAAATTTTATAAGTTTCATTTTTTAATTATTTAGACAAAATAGAAAAGATATTAAGGGTTAGTTCACCCAAAAATGAAAATTAATTCATTAATTACTCACCCCCATGCTGTGCCAACCCCGTAAGACCTTAGTTCATCTTCGGAACACGAATGAAGATATTTTTGATTTGACAAAAAGTATTCTCGTCACTTGACAAACTTATAGTTGAGCCACTGTAGTCACATGGAATATTTAAACATTTTCTTCATTGACTTTCTGGGCCGTCAAGTGTCATTCCCTTAGGAGCCTATGTGGTAGTGATACAGCTCTCAAATTTAATCAAAAATATCTTCATTTGTGTTGGTCAAGCATGGGGGTGAGTAATTAATGACTTAATTTTCATTTTTGGGTGAACTAACCCTTTAAAATTGTCCTTTTATTGGTTATCAGAAATAATTCTAATATCGTGATCAACCCGTAAGAAATCTCACTCACTGGTCTGACACACAGCAGGACTGGACTTCTTTCTCCGAAGCCGAGAGCTAGATCCAGAAGCGAGATCTTGCGCAGGGGTTGAGGGGAGAACTTCACTAATGCCTGTATTCTGATGTGTCCTAGAATTGCTAGTTGGAGTCTCGTTCATTAGGTTGTGTACAGACCCCCCACAATCAGACTGCAGGAGACACTTGGTGGAGTTGCACTCAGAAATCGATGACATGGCGAGCAGGTTTATTGGCCCAGCGGTAACCTCGTCCTTGCGTGAACGGCCACCAGGGGGGCTGGTGCTGCGGCGGAAGCGAGTAGCCCGCTGAAATAGCCCCTCTCGTTTCTTCTTCTCCTCACGTGGCTCCGGTTCTTCATTGGTAGCACCCTTACAGACCTCTCGCAGGTCAAAGCCCAATGCGACAGATGCCAGGATGGAGGCACAGCCATAGAGAACAGAGTCTGTGCGGCGGCATGTGGTGCTGCGCTTCAGGCTGTTGGTGGGTGTGTGCTGAGGTGTGGTGCTGGTGGAACTTGTGGATGTCGTTGGATCGTCCTGGCTCTCACCTCCACCAGCCGGCCCCTGGCTCTCCCCCTGTTCATCTTTCCACAGAGGTAGATCGATATACACCTGGTTGGGGAACTTGAGTTGCTTTGGTTTGTTGTCAGATCCATCAGCAGAGCATACTTCATCTTTACTGGTTCCTGGGGGGAGACAAGTATAAATACAGATGTTAGGTTAGAGACTAGTTATGTCGTTTCATGTAGCTTCAAATGTGACTTTGCCAAAGCACACTTTGCTCCCTTTCCTCACCCGAAAACTGTGATTTAAGATGAAATCATTAGCCATATAGACCTTCTGCACCAGAGAAACGAGCGTGGAGCCATCTTTAAAATGTTGTCTTATAACTTGTTTTTGCGGTAGCTCTGTATATTTCTATGGCATCACTGTCAAAGAGTAATTAGCTGGCGAAGTGGATTTCCTTATTGTAGAGGTGACGAAAGGTATCATGAGGATTGTAATGTTTGAAGTGGATGTCATAACAAATGTCAGTAGACCAGGCAGATTTTAAAATGAGTGATTCATTCATAAATCCGTAAGATCTTACCATCATGCTGTGGAAATATAAAGCAGAAGATTGAACACAACAAGCACAACGCTGAAGGGGGGCGGGACTACATAAGGTCTATAGCCTCAATGTATGATTAGTTATGCTCTTCCCAATTCCCCCCTCTTTCTGGTTTCAAGGAAACTTAGGAAAATCATCTCGGTCATACTCTTGCTAAAATAAATTCGATGCGTATCTGTGCTCCTTTCAATCTTGTCCAATTTAAAGCTGTTGACAGAATTCATTCCACCAAAACCAAATTTAAGAAACTTTCTTTAACAGAAGATGACAGTTGCTATACATTCTCACTATCCCCAGACGATCAGATTCATACATTTTTACACGTCCTAAATTGTATTCATTTTGGTCATATTTTTTTGATACACTGTCAAAGGCCCTTATATTTCTCTTTGCATTTATCTTATTATTGCTAGCCAGAAGCCAAATATTGCTACTTTGGATATTTTCTGCCTAAAAATTGATATCTTTTAAATATATCATGGTTTCAACTTTCTACAAAGTAGCACGATTGTTTTCAACATTGATAATTATAAGAAATGTTTCTTGAGCGCCAATATGAGTTCTGAAGGATGGCTAGTAATGGCAGTAATGTATGCTGAAAATTCATGTCATTTATTCACAGGAATAAATTACATTTCAAAACACAACCTTGATAAAAGATGCTATAAGAATGCAGCAATTTGAACAAGCAATTTGATAACAAATAAAACTTTAGATTCTGAACTGTGCATTCAGTGATTAATGTCATGTCAAGAAGGTGGTTTCAGGGATATAAATGATACTCCACTTTTTTGGAAATAGGCTCATTTTACAACTCCCTCAGATTTACACAGTTAAGTTTTACAATTTTCGATCCCATTCAGCCGATTTTCTGATATTTAGAAGAATATCAGTAACCAGACAGTTTCTGGTCCCATTGACTTCCATATTATGAAGTCAATAGGGTAAACCAGTAAAACCCAATTGTTTAACTCTGGGGGAGTTGTAAAATGAGCCTATTTCCAAAAAAAAGTGGAGTATCCCTTTAAATATACAACAAAGAGCGATGAAAACCGAGTACATGGAAAAAGTAAATGGGAGATGAGCTTTCTTTACATACCCTGCTCTGCAAATAATGCAGCCAATGGAACAGATTTCTGGGATTTCATAAGACTAGTGGACCAGGGACTGCTTCCATCTGAGAGAGGTCGAACTCTGAAGACAAAATGACAGTGGCAACCACAATTAATAATTAAACTAAAGCAACTACATGTATTTTTTGAATAATTAAAATGTAACATATGGTGCTTAAAGATAATATTTTTGTCTAGGCTTTAAGAAAAGGAACACACAAAAATAAACACTGTTCCAACCTTTCAGCACAATTTCCCCTTTCCTTCGTCTGCACAGAGCTTGGCCCCCACGTGCGGCCCTTCTTCTTGAACCCTTTCTTAACATCTTCAAACTCCTCAGGTTTGAAATTGGTGCTTCGACCCCATGTTCTGTTGCTCTCGTCCAGGGTCACTAGAAATGAAGACACATAGAATTTGAAACAGAATTGCTAATACCAATGGAAATGTTCTTAAACTGACAGTCCCAATATCTGCCCTGCTACACCACATACTGAGATCCAATCTATTAGTCCTTCACAGCAGAACAGAAACAGCGTTTTTAGAAATTAAGGCAACCTTCACCCACCCAGCAAAACAAGTGTTAAATCATTGCAATCATTCTCAAAAACAGTTAATGGAGCTTCAGGAAGAACATTATGAGAACATTTGCTTTAAATCTTTTTGGATTTTATTCACTGAAAAGAGTTATTAATGCAATCATCAGATCAAGTTTGGCAGCACCAGCTCAAGGTCTACAATAATGTCCTTGATTCCCAAAGCAAATCATTATTACAGACAATTAAAACTTCATCAAGCAATGCGTTAAGACAACCTAAAGGCATCAAAACAAAAAGAGATGTTGTGAAGTAAGAGCCATAGTGATCAGCAATCACACCAACACACAGTTAGATGGGACGGCTTTGTCTCACAGGACCACAGTGTCCTTGCCTTTCTTCCTAAATCCGCTAGGAGGTTTACACTCGCTTGTGATATCCACATCCTGGTGATACACAAACATACTGCCCCTTCGGCTAGTCTCACCTGGGTGGCTCACTGATGGGAAAAAAATAAGTTTTAAGTGTGTGACAAACACAGGATTCAGCAACCACTGGCAATGACCTGGATGCCATTTTTTGTCACACTGAGCTACTCACAAATGGATTAACTAGTGTGACTGCCCTTGGTATGTTTTTACTGTTTTTAAACTGGCAAAACATTTAAACAGGAATGCTATGGGCCAATCCTGATATTAGCTAATTACAATGGAATGGCAAGACAATGGGTCTGTTTGAATTTCATATCTTGTTTGAGTACTTTAAGATAATTTCTAATAATTGAAAGATAAATTTAATGTAAAATAACAATGTGGCAGATGCTGGCACTTACACTGAATGGCTCGGAGGCGAGGGATCAGTGTAGGGCTGCTGGGAGGGCTGGAGTTAGTGCTATTGAGGCTTCTCCTCTTGTCCATAGTTGGAGAGGCCTGAACTGTGATTTTATGCTGAAAATCTGATGAACAAATAAGGTTACCCACCAGTAAAATTTACTAAAACACTACTACATTTTACAATAACATTTTCAACATCAACCATCTTTAAAACTCTAATACTACAAGAAAAAAAATTATTGTGACATTATTAATGTGACAACAAATTAAAATGTAAACTAATAAGATAATGCGGCTCTAACCTGAGGGTAAGCTGATGCGGTTGCCATCTTTGAGCTTGAGGCGGCTACGTTTGAACTTGCCCTTCCGTTTCTTAACATTGGGCTTGTCCTTGTTTAGTTGGAATATGAGGATGTTGAGTTCACGCTCAAGCACGTTAATTTCCCGTTCGGCCAGCTGCTGTTCTCTCCTCTTCAACAGCTCTTCGTGAGACTTCTGTTGAAGGGCTGCTCGCGTCAGTTCCTCCTCACGAGAACGAAGCTCCTGTTGGCGTCAAGAACATTTGTGATCAAACACATTTTGCAAAGGAATCCATCATTGGAGTTTATCTGAAAACTACATTATGGTGAGTGAATGATGCCAGAATACCATTTTTGGATAAACTATTGCCAAACAATGACCAAATAAATATAAATATTTGTATATACTGAATTACTGCCTAAGGAAGCAAATTCGGATAGTTCTCATGCTTATGAAACAACTCTTTGTCTATGAGCAAAAAAGACATCATTGGTATGAATGGCACTTTCACTTCCTTTGGGCTTGGAGAACAGAGCTCAGATTCCTCTCTGCCTTGAACTGCTCATTTCAGATCAGCCTTTTGTTCTTGTTTTTTTCCCTTTGAGCACCATAAACGCAACAATAATACTAGACCTGTGAGTAAGTCATCCACAAAACAGCAGCACCATTTATAAGCTAGTAAATAAAAACTCAAATTTCTAATGTTCCCTTTCTCTAATTTTCACTTCTGCTCTGGCCTACAATTTAATCTTAATACTGTGAATATGGTGAAGGAAATCCTGCCTTTTGGTTAAAAGAATAAATTTTCTTTGTGATAGAGTTAGTTTACTCATTCTCTATATCTATTGAACAGAATAATCCTCATGTATAAAACTTGCAGAGAGAATTGTTAAGCATTAATCAAAACCGTTTTCCGCCCACATGGAGTAAAGCCGTTTGGCCTAATCTCTTATGAATAAGTTCTGTAAGAAGCTTTGGGGCACTCTGCCAAGAAACACACTTGGGCAGATGATGTAGACAATTAATTAATGAATTAACAATTTGTTTATTTACAATCGAGTAAAAGTTCACTTGGTGCATCACTTAACAAGGAAGATATTTATGTGACAGGACTGTTCCTAAATGAGTGGAAAAATCCACTGATCAAGAATGACTTGCACATGAAACACAATGTCAGGATTTCTACATGAAGTTTTAGCTGACTTGCAGGAAAAGGCAACCAATGGCAAACCCTTTCCAACATAACAAGCTGCTAGGATCGGAAGCAGCTTATCATATTAACTTCATTGAACACTTAAGGCCATTTCATTGCTAACGGCTAGCTTTGTTAAGAGGATCAGCAACACCAAATACAGCTAACCTAATAAAATCTGAACCATATTTGATAAGAAAACAATATAGGCCCACTGTCTCATAACAAATCATGTAAAAACTATATGTAAAACAAGCTCAGAAAGGAAAAAGAGTCAAAATCTTTTATCAACAGACCTTTTCTTTAGTGCGTAGCTCATCAAACATTTCCTGGATCTCCACTCGCCAGTCCTCCTGCATTGAATGGAAGGAGTCCTGTGGCATGGTGGCCATCACAGCTTCTTCTATGGCAGTCAGCTGCTCCAAAATGGAAGCAAAAGACGGACGGATATGGGGATCCTGCTCCCAGCATTCTATGAACAAAAAAATATGTTGGAACTCTTGCAGGTTATTACAATGACCACACGTTTTAATTAATTGCAGATTGCAGTGGGACTGGTTTATACTCACACCCCATTCATATACCATTCATTTCAATGAGTTTAAAGCATAAAGTTAACATAGTTTTATCATCAATACACATAATCTGTGATTGCCTTTTTGAAAGACATTTCCAGATGTGCAGTCTACCTAGTGACAGCACTAGGAATGCCCATGAGCAACTTGAGGTATGGAGACAAGCCACATGCAGCGACAAAGTGTGAATGGGGCATCAGTGCCTAAATGTCAAATATCTCATGGAATGTTGATAACATATAGTGATGGGATAAACAATGAGTAATATTAGTGAACCACTAGCAGACCTACCCTCCATGAGCTTGGCAAAAGGCTCGGGGCAGGTCGATGGAATGGGAAGGGTTAATTTGTTGACAGCAACTCCATAGGCAACTGCCAAGCCGTCAATGCCACGGTAAGGAACCTCTCCAGTCAGTAATTCCCAAAGGAGGACTCCATAACTGGACAGAAAACAGAACACAGGGAAGAGTCAGTGTGGAATGAGTTGGTAATAATCACACCAATTGGACCTAAAGTACTCATAATATTAACCAGCTAGGAAACTTTGGGGCCCTCTGTACTTTTTCCCAAATCAAGTTGTAAACTGATTGCACTTTTAAATTATTAAATTACATGTGTATACATAAAGCATCTCAGAGGCAAATTCTTAATGGAAACATTGTATGATCGCTAAATAACATTACTTCTCTTCTTAACCACAAAGAAAGGAAAAGACAATATTCTAGCAATGTTAGGAAATAAAGAAGGTAGAAGTGAAATCAATCAAAATGTGTCTGAGCAAGTGGCATGAGAAAAAAATAAAAAAGACGAGACATTTAGCTTTCACAAACAAGGTAAAAGGGCAATTGGAACACCACCAAATGCTGTACTGATCGAAACTGACCCAAAGATTCTGTGAACCTAAAACTAAATCAAACACTAGGCATTACATTTAAGCTTTGTTTTAAAACTTAGGCCCTGTTTGCACCTGGCATTATGATGCGTTTTGGTCAACCAGATCACAAACGGGATCTAAAACGTTTAGAGCTTTTCTACCTTTGACCACATCCAGAGATAGTCGAAAATGCACTTGTGTGTTTGAATGTGTTCTAACAGTCATAAAAGACCACCTACTCTCTGCCTACTAACTTAATGCGTAAATATTATGGGAAGAGCGCTAGCCAGAGTGGATTTAACTTTGCTGGCTAAAGATCCAAGTTTGGTTTGAAGACAAAAATCATGTACCAAGCACATGTTCTCTCACCATTCCGGATTTCTAACACACATCCACAGCTTCCATTGTTGTGGCTAACAGAGCAGAATCGAAAGCTGATGCTCCTTGTATGTTTTTCTGTCTCCGTCTGTGTTCATATGTCAGATACATCATGTTTTTAAACCGGTGTGTCTCCCTCATCTAATTGTGATCCGATCGACCAAAATAAATCTTAATACCAGGTGTAAACAGGGCCCCAGTCAGCTACCTTGCAGTGCAGTTTATCGCCTACAAATACAGCAGCAACCAAACTGAAATTGATTCTCTTAAACAAGGACAATCAGGAGAATTAGGCCAATTTTAGCCCCGAATCTCCCCTTCCGACAATCTTAAGGATGCTCTAATTATCGTAAAATAATCTGATCAGACATTCCTGCTGTGTGTGGTGTGTTAAGACCGCTCTCGTCTGCTCGGAAGGACGTCGGGACTGCTCCGATCTCAAATTGGGGATATCCAACATGTTGTATTTTTTTGTCCCGATTTCTCCTCTCGTGTGGTGTACCCCGGGGACAAACGAGTACGCAGCCTGTGGACTGTGGCATGTAGCCAATCAGAAAGCGAGGTGACAATGCATTGGGGAAGCACCGGGAAACAAAATCAAAAGAGTCTCCACTTCTTTAAACATCACCTTTTCATTTGATAACGTTTTTTTTGGTTAAACACAAACTGCACTGATTGTTTACTCTTAAGTCATGTTTGATCTCGAGGGATTTTGCAAGATTTTCCGTCTGACCTGGGAATGCTTGGGAATCAAATCGGTTTGTGTGTGATGTATTGATTTTGAGACCAAAAACTGTTTTTGACTGTACGACCAAAACTGTTAGACCATGATTTTTTAATCACCGTGTGTAGGGTCTCTCAGGTTTGGAAAAATCGGCCAACAATTTTAAAATCGTCCCGTGTGAACCAGGCTTTAAATGACTGATTTGTAACACTTTGCAAGTTTTTAAGTTTGCAAGGTACAGTCACAACATACAGTACTAATGCATTACACATATCAGTCTGTAATTATATTGAACTATGTTGTATCCATGAACAATACGTTACACTAACTTAGAATTTGGCCAAAATGATGCGTTATACAAGTATAATTGTGCCTTTTGAAAAAGCTTAAAATGTTGCCCAAGCAATTGTGTCTAACCTCAAGAAACCAATTAACTTTAATAACAGGCTTTGATAAAACATTGTGATTAACTTAAAATAACAGCTTACCTCCAGACATCGCTCCCTTTAGAAAACAGAGAAGACTTGATGACCTCAGGAGCCATCCAGGAATAAGTGCCAGCAGCACTCATTTTGGTCGTTTTGTGCCACTCACGAGCAAGGCCAAAGTCAGTGATCTTCAGGATTTTTCGACCAATGTCATCATTCTCAATTTTTTCAAGTAATAAAACTAAAAAAAGAACAGAGACAGGAAAAATGTTTTAGATATTTGTACTAAATTACATATGAGTTAATAGTTGAATTAGACAAATTGAGCTATTTTAAAGTATGATGGGAATGTTTTCGAGTCTTTCGACACGTGAGCCTTAGCTTTTGAGCATTTATGTCAATGAATAACAATACAAGAATGCTAAGAGGGTAATCATATTTCCATGCTTTAATAATGAAGGGGAATCTTCAAGGACACAGGTCTACATTAAGAACTCAGAGAGTCATACAAGTCAGTCTAGTTTACAATACAGCCTCGTACCAAATGACAAATAACATGAGAATGTAGGCCAGCTGTCTTTGAAGTCCGGAACATCCCGAGGTCAGGAGTAGTATTTCTCACCGGTTCTGTCCTTGACAATATTCCAAATTGAGACCTTTATCAATATCAATATGTAATAAATAGGGAGGCCCTCAGTTGATAACTACATGACTGATTAATCTGACCATGACTCCTTTCCCATTATCATGACCTGAGGGGGTATAACTAAGTAGTGTTATTTGTGGACAAGTTTCATTAAATGCCTTAAACTTTCCCAGGCTTCTTCCAGCATACATTGGAGAGTACTGACCTTGACTACACTCCCAGTTTATGCAGTTGTTACAATTTAAGACATTAAGTATAACAGTAACATTTTCATTTGTTCAGTACAAGAGTAGTGCACTGAAAATCATCTTTATTTATTAAAGCAACAAGCCAGAGAAATCTAACTAGCAGTTCCAAAATGAGGATTTAGATCCTTTACAATTCAAAGGATTAGTTCACCCAAAAATGAAAATTACCCCATGATTTACTCCACCTCAAGGCATCCTCCTGGTGTACATGACATTCTTCTTTCAGACAAATACAATTGGGGGAGTTATATACTGGCTCTTCCAAGCTTTATAAATGGCAGGGAAAGGCTGTTTTTGTTTTGAAGTCCATCAAAGTGCATCCATCCATGATCAAAGTAATCCATGCGGCTCTTGTGGGTTAATAAAGGCCGTCTGAAGTGAAATGATGTGTTCGTGTAAAGAAAAAAAAAAGTCAATATTTAAAACTTTATCAACTAAAATAAATAACTTCTGGCAAATGGCCGTACGCACCAATTTAAGGCGGAAGAGAGACACTTGACCTTAACGCACATAATGACGAACACGGAAACACAGAGGACAGAGCAAATTAAAACACTAGTCACGAATTAGAAGTCTAAAACGACAATTTTAAAAGAGCCCAGCCCTGTTTGTTTGAAATGCGAGAGGCGTCTTTAATTCCGCTACTCCTACATCCATTCCTAAGTCATACGTGCGTGACGGGTTACTCTTGTGGCAAAAGTTCATTTGAGTAGTATGGGTACAGTCGTCTGCCGAAGTTTTAAATATGGATATTTTTCTTACACTAACACATCGCTTCACTTCACTTCACTTCAGAAGGCCTGAGCCGTGTGAATTACTTTTATGATAGAAAGATGCACTTTGATGTACTTCAAAACAGAAAGAGACATTCACGACCATTATAAAGCTTGGAAGAGCCAGGAAATTGTTTACTAAAACTAATATTGTTAGTCTGAAAGAAGAATGTCATAGCTATACACCTAGGATAACTTGAGAATGAGTAAATAATGGGGTAATTTTCTATTTTGGGTGAATTTCCCTTTAATTTCTTTTCAACCCATAAACATGCTGGACAATTTCACCTGTGAACTTTTACAAGTCTCTCTTTAAGATAAAAGGCTTGATTGTTAGCAAGGTCTCAGTTAAAATTGTGAACAAAACTTATAATTTTGGGACAAACATGAAGATTGGAATTCCATTTCGAACTGGTTTCACCTGTTTGATGCCTTCAGGTTAATCTCAGCTGTTGGGTTTCTAGCCCTTTAAGGTTTCCTTTCCATTAAGTAACAACACCAATCAACAGCTTAAATATAATGAAATAATAGACAATTCTACATACCCACAACCCATTATACAATCATTTTTAATATTGGACTCATCTTAGCAAACCAAAAAGCCAAGTTGGATATGAATGTGGTCTTATTACTAAAGAAAAATCCACTTTTCTGACAAAGATGTTCTGGTCAGATGTGAACCTGAAATATAAAATAAATGAACTTCTAAAGTAATAGTACTTTGCTACAGTCTAGCTCTCATTCATTCCCACTTTTGTAACATGTGTTTTCTTGGCTCAGATTTCTATGGTGTCCATTTTATGGAGCAGAAAATCACCTTTAGATCATGAGACAATAACCTGTTTGCCACGGTCCTCTGTCTCTCCAACAAGGCCATTGGGTCTCATTCACTGTTGAATTGTGCGTGGGCACATATCCACATACAAACGAGAAATCATGATTCACCAAAAACTTGTGTTCTAAAATGTATTCAACATTTACGAAGAAATACAGGAACTTAGACTGCGGGTCTGTATAAAAGTAGTTTGAACTGGTTTTGAGAATGACACACTTGGCATTGCTCGAGGATCTGGCGAGAGCGCTTCTGCAGAGAGTGGCATATGTTTGACGAGAGTGGCGAAAGGCTGTAAAGGAAAGGTTGCGCGGAAAGCCCTTATATGGAGATGGTTTGGACGCCGCCACTCGTTTATAATATTTCTAATTCCATAACATTAGAACGAGATTGAAAACAAATTTATGTGCAAATGAAGATGTTGTGAATTAGGTGGAGATTTGTCGTGAGAAATTCTGCTGTGCATGTACAAAATAATTTATGTAATTATTAGCGAGCAAGACCCATTATTCTCTACACTGTCAGTCAGAGTATGTGTGTGTGTGTATTTTGGAGAGCACACATGCTTGAGATTCCTTAACATTACACTTCATGTGCCTGAAATTGTGTGGCATAGTGCCGAGTTTCACAGGGATTCCTGGCAGCAGTTCTGCAATATTCTTTACCCCCAATCAGGGGAAGCTCCCCATCTTGGAGAGAAAACAGCAGCCATTGAGGAGATTAAAAATAATGAAAATAAGCCTTTCAGGCCCAGGAGTCGGGGCATTCTCGGGTAGGCAGTCACCTAGCAACCAGTGCTTGACCATTCCATTGTGCAAACTTATGTTAAGCTTTTGCCCCCTCGTTAGTGACATTCCTTTGAGTGAGGTATTAAAAGATTAGGGCACAAAAACATCATTTGACTCACTATTTGCTATATCTTAAAAGATAATCATTGATTAGATAAGCAAGACTGGGCACAACGCAAATCTTTTTTAATTTCTTATTTTTGAGGCCAAGAATTTGACTTTGCTATTTGTGCCTCCCTAAAAAGTACCCTCCACCTTTAACCCACTAAACAATGTACCGCCGCAACCTGAATGGGTAAGGAGTCCCCCTCAAAAAAACAGCCGAAAGGGTCTGGCTCATGATGGGTTGCTGTTCTGCACTGAGCAAACACGCGTTATTTTTTCAATTAAGGTCAGCAAGCTTCCAATGTTGTTTGTCACAATCCTGTGGAGAGATGAACAAACTGAGTTGCGTTAACAGTAGCACTGCCATGCTGAACGGGGGCAGGGTGCCACATTGCGTCTATTGTTGATAGTGGAATGCCGTCTATTTTATTGCTTTAGAAATACACTGTTAATTTAACAAATGGTGGAATGCTGATGAAAATGACAATAATGGCAATTTGTTTACAGAAAGAAATCATCTACACTAACGCTTAGAATGATTTTTTTTAGAAATAAATTTGTTCAGCATTAAATTGATCAAAAGGGACAGTAAAAACAACAATGCTGCAAAAAATGTGAAATTTATATTTCAAATAAACGCTGTTCGCTTGAACTTTCCATTCATTAAAAAATACTGAAACAAAAAAAAAAGAAACAGTTTTCAACATTTCAACATTGATTTCTGTCGGATCATGTGATGCTGAAAACTGGAGGAATGATGCTGAAAATACAGATTTGCCATCATAGGAATGAATTATATTTTAAAACATTACATTACAAATTAATAGTTATTTTATATGATATCTAACAATAATACTGTTTTAGTACTTCCTTAGTGAGCAAAAGAGACTTTTTTAAAAATTAATACTCCCAAACTTTTTAATGGTATAGATATAAAAAACAGCTTGCTAATAAATTAATGGAATGAAGAGAGCCGCTGAATGGATTTACATTATTATGGTACCCGCTGATCAAATCTCTGCAGCACAAAGACTGTATTTGAGTTACATATTTTTTTTGTGAGGATTAATCAGGAAGATAAACTATTCTGTTTACAAGTTACTTAACTTCTGAAGGCAATATGAATTTGACAGACATGATCAGCTTTGGCAAAGGGCTGAAACAAATGCATAGTGATGTGTATCGTTTACCTTCTTAAATATTGTACTGTGATTTGTATATTGTACTGTGTTGTGTTTTGTGAAATGTGTAGCCTCCTATGGACAAGTGCTGTAAATTAGCTATAACACTAAAAAAAACAATGTTTCTGGTTTGTCCAACGCACTTGTTATGTCCATATCAAATAAATAAATAATAATAACTGAAATGTCTCTTTTAGGTATTAGCATACCTGAGGCAAGTGTAAGGGTCTTTCCCAACTTCATATATGACTGGGAAACATGATAGGACAATCACAGTGTGCCCTGCAGCTATGGTAATGTTTAGGGGGGAAAAAAAAAAACACTTGCATGAAATAAACACTTGCCATAAACTTCTGCAACACGTGAAGCGCAAAAAACAACAACACTCCACCATTTCAAATGGTCTAATAATTGTCACTCCTCGGCAGTATTGAAACAATACAACAAAATAATACTCACCACCAGTGTATGTGACACATAGTTTATTATAACACCAATTATTTTATATCATCATCAAAAAACAAAAACAAAAAAACATTTACATACAGACTTGGTGCCTCTTTGTGCAGACGTATTTTCAGACCAGAGTTTTCTGAACCTTGTTAGCAGATAGCCAGTTTCTCAATGACACCAGCTGTTCAAACTCTAACCTCTTAACTTCACAACCTGCCTGTGGTCACACATTCAGAAACCATCATTCCCACAGCTCCTTTGAAAGGTTTGGAGATAGCCAGTGTTTTTTTTACTTGTTGGCTGTGTAACTCAAGACTCTGCTGAAGCACATGACTTAAATCCACTGTTGAAATGCAGGTGCAGTTTTCAAACAGCCTGCTCTTCTTTAGTCGAGGACAATTGAGATGTGTAGAAAAAAATTGCAACCTTAAATACCTCTGGATGACTGTAGGGCTGCCAACATTTACAAATGTAATTTTATCTTAGTTTAGTATTTTCACCCAGATGTACACATTGTGGTTTAACCACAGATTATTTAATGCTTGGTGCATTTTCGATTGAAGAAAGCAAAAAACAACATCTGCATTTATTCATTTGGTAGATGCTTTTATCCAGTAGGCTATTTCTTATAAATGAGAAATACAACAAAGGATTCACCTTAATGCCTACTATATTATATTTAATACACAAAGGCTTCTATTTTTGAATCATCAAATCTTAGCTGTTGTAAAAGGCTTCTGTCATCTGATTGATCCTTTATACATTTTTAGCAAGTAAAAGGCCTTTTAGTGTAGCCTAATTGTAAAATGTCCACCTTCAGGTGCCTTTTTGGGGTGAACTCTTTAATGATTTTTATAACATAAGAATAACTTTTATATTGTTAGTAATATATCAAGATGAACTGGACTGAACCAGCTTAGCTTTACTTGATTATCCATACATCATTGTTTTTTTTTATTTTATGTTAAAATGCAAGTATCAAATATAATACATAAGGATTTTAAGGAATGTTTATTAATACATATCTTACTCATTGTATTGTATTACATTATAGGTAATTATAAATACTGAGGTTCTTTGATCATAAAACATCATCTCACTAAGACATTTTATTGATATATTGACAACGGATATTTTAAATATTCTGTTACTGTTAGAATTATTTCATTGATTTACATTACAAACCATCATATTTCATATGGTTTGTTATTTCATCTATCCTTTTTTCAATGGTTCAACAACAACAACAACAAAAAAAAATCACGTCAGGCTTTAAAGGATTAAGGATATGACAAATGCTGGCAATGTTTGAAACACTATCTAGAATAGTATAGGCAAGAACCGGAAGGAAAAGTATGCTTTCCATAAGAGTTTCGTTTTGTTTTTGTAAATTAAATATTGAAAGTTTTGCTGCCAATGTTGTACTCTGAGATAAACGAATGCTGAAGTTGCTATAAGGACTTGGAAGGACCCAGTGTCTTTAACATTAACTACAAAGGCTCAATTCAAATCTTAGGACATCCATCAATTTTATAGCTTTTCTTCTAGGGTTAGATTTCACTAGTTAGTGGCTTCCTTTGAGAAGCATATTGCTTTTAGCGAGAAGATACAGCACTTGTGGCTACATATATAGGAAACATTAAATACCTTTAGACTGGCAGGATATTCCATGATGACCTTTTAAAAGTTATTTCATGAGCACGTGGTGTTCTGTTCCCCTCCTTTCAGGTACAAACACAGGAATATATGGGAAAGGTTGAATGTGCTAATGATAAAGCTTTGTAAAGGAGGGTGGGGATTAATAATTAACGTGCTAATTGCGAAAGGAAATACCAATGTGACAACCAAGTGTGTGTTTCTACAGTAGAGCAAATACCAGTAATTCTTTGTCAAGACAAGGAGGAATTAATGAGTGTGTATCAATTATCTTACTGTTGCTGGACTTCAGGTCTCGATGAATAATGGGAACCACGGCCTCCTCGTGGAGATAATGCATGCCTCTGGCGATCTGGACGGCCCAGTTCACGAGGATATGAGGGGGGATCCTCCTGCTCGCCAAGGCGCGGTTCAGAGTGCCTCCTCGGGCATATTCCATGACAAGACACAGGTTGGGCTCGTCCAAACACACCCCCTCCAATTTGATAATGTTGGGATGTTGAAGCATCGAGAAAAGTTTGGCTTCTTGCTTAACACTGTCTGCAGTAGCTTTAATGTCCTCGTCGGGGTCCTGTCGAGCTGCCTTCACCGCGACCTCCTGGTCCTTCCAGGCCCCCCGGTAGACTTTGCCAAACCCTCCGACGCCGATGATTTCTTGTAGAACGAGTTCAGTAAAAGGTATCCGAACAGGGGCGGGCGGGTCATTCTCGCGAGCCCCGACCGCTCTGTAAATAGCTGGTTGGTAAGTAACATAATTAGATGGGAAGATGCCCACGCGACGCTTAATTTTTCCAGTCCACCAGCCTTCGTCTCCCGAGATGGCAGCGTCCTTCGACAGGACCTCCACCACGTCTCCTCGCCGCAGGCTGAGCTCGTCCTCCCCGCTGGCCTCGTAGTCAAACACCGCCGTCCAGAGCGAGCGGGGACACACGGGGGCAGAGTCAGCCCAAGCCCTCGAGTTGGAGGACTCCGTCCAGACATGGTCTTGGAGGCTCAGGCGCCCCTCACCGTTTGGGAAAACGGCCTGGGGAACATCCATGTCTCGGTGCCTGCAGGAGCACCATAGGGTGCCGTGATGTCAAATCAAAGTAAACTAGTCCAGTAACGTTAGTCGTATTCCCCAATGACACACACGCACACACCCACAAAAAGTTCCTAACAAACCCAGCCAGGTCACTTTATACCATTAACGGAGAGTGGGTCAGGTTAAGTCCGGCTTAATATAGTTTAAAAGACGCATTGCTTTGTTCCCACGTAAGCCAGCTAAACAATCTCGGAATGAGAAATGTCTCTGAAGCACGGACATCAGCTTTAGCCTAATTACTCGCTTCACAAACTTTTTTGTTTACATTATAGAGTAAAACTTACATTATCAGCCTGTCGATTCATGCGTCACCAAAAGCACAATACAAGTAAAACAACATACCTAACCATGAAAGTTGAAAGAGTGTTCAAGCCGTGAGGCTACAGGTGCAAAGTACCTGCTCATCCTAGACGAATGAATCGAGCTAAATATACACACGATTATTTCACTACCCAAGATAAGTTACTTATTAACTTGCGTGTCTACTTGTACAAAACCCCCTCGTAGCCATTCTCTGGCTGGTTAAAACACATTGGACGAGCAGGCTAAATAGCTGTGCTAACGAGTTAGCTTTATCTCTCCCTCTAACTCTCTCTCCGCAGTTCACGAACTAATAACCGCGGCTCCCAAAAATTCTTCCGTCGCCAAGTACAAGTCGCGAGCGCACCACAGTTTGTGTTTCCCGCAGCCAGGCTCCCGAGCACTTCAGTCGTCCGCCAGCTTTCCAAAAAGTTATAGCTTTTTCCCTCTCCTGTGGATCTAAAGACTTTTTCTGAGCTACGAAAACTTTGTTTAGTCAGTTTATGTGTGCATCGCCATCACTTCTCCGCTTCTCCAACTCGACTGACCCTAGAGGGAGGAGAGAAGCAAACGGTGGAAATCGATTGGTTACAGGAGGTCACGTGACACTATGCGTGAGCGAAGAACAAGTGGGAACTGCGAACCTTTCTCTTTTTTTCAATCTGCGATGTTATGTTACTTCTTCAAGGCACCTTCATGGTACTTAAAGATTTATAATGTACTAATTTATAATGTATAATGTAAACCAGTATGCTTTACCCTACAGTTTATAGGGCTACACCTGTAATGAGACACTTATCAGATAATTTAAATCGAGGAAATAAACAAACATGCATAAAATTCATATGAAATCCTTAAATACCATAGGCTATTGAGCTATAAAGATTAGGCTTATAACTAACTTTTATGTTATAATATTAATTCACTGACTATTAGAAAGGGAAAACGTACTATCTTGTGTCATAAACGCATCTGAGTCAATGAAGAAACTTCATTTCAGAATCCTGCGTGTGTGAGTAAAAATCCTGTGTGTGTGTGTGTGTGTCTATCTGTCTATCTATCTATCTATCTATCTATCTATCTATCTATCTATCTATCTATCTATCTATCTATCTATCTATCTATCTATCTATCTATCTATCTATCTATCTATCTATCTATCTATCTATCTATCTATCGTATATAAATATAATGATACACACACACACACACACACACACACACACACACACACACATGTTATAACAAATAAAGAGTTCCATTTGAAATTTTCTTATAGAATGAGAATTATCAAGCCTGTATATTAAAGTTCAGTATATTTCACTTAAATGGCAATGAAGGTTACCTATTAATTGCCATCTAAGTGAAATTACTTTACTTAAATATACAAGCTTGATAAAAATGATCATTCCAGCAGAAAACTTCAAACGGCACTAAGAGGCTTTTGCATCTGAACTCTTCAAATACTTTTATGTTAGATGTGATTAATCGGTTTGAAAGCATATATAGCTATATATATATATATAGAGAGAGAGAGAGAGAGAGAGAGAGAGAGAGAGAGAGAGAGAGAGAGAGAGATACACACACACACACACACACACACACACATATATATATATATATATATATATATATATATATATATATATATACATATATACATATACATATACACACACACACAAAAAAGGATTATTAGGAGCACTGGTTCAATTTCTCAGTTGGTGCCAGACGGGCCGGTTTATTTCACAAAGAATCTTGCAATTTGCAAGAGCTCACCAAAATTGGACAATTGAAGACTGGAAAACTTTTGCCTGGTCTGATGAGTCTCGATTTCTGTTGAGACATTCAGATGGTGTCAGAATTTGGCATAAACAGAATGAGAACATGGCTCCATCATGCCTTGTTACCACCGTGCAGGCTGGTGGAGGTGGTGTAATGGTGTGGGGGATGTTTTCTTGGGATACTTTGGATCCTTAGTGCCAATTGGGCATCGTTTAAATGCCACAGCATTGTTTCTGACGATGTCCATCCCATTATGGTCACCATGTACCCATCCTATGATGGCTATCATATACAGTATATATATATATATATATATATATATATATATATATATATATATATATATATATATATATATAGCTCCACATTCCTTTTTTGTATTTAAAAAAAAAAAAAAACAATACTGCAGGCCCCGAAATGTGTACATTTAAGTCTGGTTCAAAAAGTCCTGTTGATGCTGCGGTGTTGTGTTAAAAAAAACTTATTGAACATAATCTTTTAAACATTTTAGCTAGGCCTACTTAAAATGTTCTGCTGTTTATGTAAGTTCAAAATGCTCTCCCGCTTTCCTGGCTCCATCTCAGAACAGTTGATTTTCCACGGCTCTCGTCTTTTGACTGTATCCTCACACACACAGGGTGGGGGCGCATGACTCAGTGAGCAGAAGAGCATCGCTATGAATCAGTCCATGCCTCCCTCCTATCCGCTCATGTGAAGCAGGCGCAGAAGGATGCTGCTGCTGGGAGCCTTTCACCGCACAAAACCAATGCTTTTATGTTGGGAAATAGGGAGACAAGGCGTGGACGATGAAAAAGAAAAGTAAACGGTTTCAAGGAAGGATGTAGAGGCAGCTTCTGTAAATATGTAATCGCGCGTTGGGGCAGCGAGTCCAGGACGGCAGAGGTGTGAATTCGCAGCTTGCAGCATGATATATTTGTAGCGACCATTATTGAAAATATGGGCTCTCAAGTCGTGCAAACGCTACGCCAAGGAGTCTGGGCTTCACTGACCGGTGGATGGTATCATGATCCAGACCAGAATAAATTCAACAATTCATGTCACCTGTATTTATGGATGTTTTTGCTTATGCTTCCATTATCTCTTCATTTGGTGAGTGATACAATATCGCAGGCCGCCGATAATATTGTACAGCTGATATGAAGCTGATTGAATGCGTTAGCAGACGAAACATCACACGAAATATTGATCTAAATCAATGAAATGGATTTACGCGTTAAATGTTATTGACTATATGAATTTACGTGTTATGCTCCTCGTAGCTCCTTGCACTGTCGCATTTTTCTTCTGCATAGCTTCCTGTACAGGTTATTCACGAATGGCAGTCTGTGTTATAGCATTGTTGTGCATTTACAGTAGACAACAATATCAATAGGCCTATACAGGTTTTTTATTTCTAGTGGTCATGCAATTATTATTTATTCAGAAAAGACATCACAATGATGCAAATTTAATATTCTAAAAACTAAGATATTTAACACTTGACTTATCTATCTGTCAATGTATCAATTGTTCCAGAGATGTCATGGCTCTAATGTATTTTCCCCCAGGCTCTTCCACCCACCACTACTACCCTCAGTATCTACTGCACCTCAGTGACAGTTTTCTTCATTGTCATTAAGATGGTAAATTATCGCCTCCATCTGATGTTCGATCAGGGCGACATTGTAGCCCAGAATAGTGTGCCCGACATAAGCAAAGGTGTAGACAAGAAAAGCAACGCGTCTGATTCCGGTCTTCCATCCCTAAGGTAAGATCCAAAATCAGTTGGATCAGTAGGCTATATTGATTTCAATATCATTTTACAATGTTATTTCCCCAAAGGTTTTGCCTACTCAAAGCTCATAAACTCTACTGCCAAAAGTTGTTGTTGTTTTTTTATATTTGTCATGTAACTAGGCTAAAGTCTGAATTGTTTTAATCCAAAGGAAGAGCAGCACAGTTCCTGACAGTGTTGCCACATCAGTATTGACCAAAAACAGACCAAGTCCAGTAATACAGGTCACAGTGAAACAGACTGAAACAGACCCTGGACTGATTGGAGTGAGTAATACTTTCAAGATTGGATCTATAATTAATTATACTTGGAAAAAATGTATTGTTGCAGAAAATGTTAAAGGTTATTAGTGTAACAGCAGCTTTTTGAATGCAGATCTTGCACAAATCTAGCTGTGAATATTGTTATGTATAATTTGTGTGTGTGTGTGTGTGTGTGTGTGTTTTAAATAACAATATCATTTTTGTTGGTTAACCTGCTATTCAAAACTGTGAAGGAGTGTCCAAAATCCGAGGAGCTGAAAAACATAGGGGGTATGTACCAGCTTTAATTATAGCACTGGCCTGGTTTCATTGCAGTGGAAGAGATCCTCACAAATGTTGGAACATGCTGTGCAGAAACACTGTAAGTTTCAGTCTCAGAGCCTAGCATATGAACTGAGGAATAACTTGACTACTCTCTATTGCCTCAGTCACACATCACACTGAGTGTGACATCAAGCCAGGACCTCTCAAAAAAAGCTATCAGACAGCTTTGGTTAAACACAGCTCATAGTGAGGGTCTCTGACTGCATCTAAAAACAGACATTTCAGAAGATTTTATTAAATGTAATTTTTTTACTTCATATAATTTTATAAAATAAAAAATAAAATAAGAAAAATTATGTAGCCTAATGTTGGTCAGCACTGGATTTTTTTTTTGTTGCGGGTTAAATAAGTATAATTACACCTTCTAATCAATTGTCAAGGAAGTAAAAAATGGTGTATCATGATTTTTGACATAAGCCAACAGGGTGCAGCATTTAATAGCTAATTCATTTAAAATATATCATAAGCCATTTGTCAATCTGACATTTTAAAGATGCTGTTTGTGTACTGACTGACATTTACAGGTCAGAGTGATGCTGTCTGTAATGAACGGTCTTGGCCAGATGTGGAGGAGAGACTCACCCCTGAGGATGTGTTCAGTCCCAACACTGACCAGTCTGCCCCACTCCTGCAGGGAGAGCAGATTCCTTCATCCCACAGAGACAAAGCTGACAATGATCTTCCGCCTTCACCTGTGAATGAAGCGGACAGTTCAGAGGAGAAAGACAAACCCCCCACTGACCCCAACAACAATAATACCTCTCTAGAAATCACACGAGATGCCGACGATGGAGAAAGACCTGAGGAGAACTATTGCTCGGATGAAATTGCTGTGGTGCTGGTTGATAACTCGAGTCCCTTGTCCCACCTGGACGAGAGTGATACGGTGAAGATCATTATCACAATGAGCTGTGACCCACAGACAGCTGCTGAGCTGGAAGAGTCTGTTAAACTGAGCATCTTAGAGTCAGCTCAGTCCCACCAGGGAGAATCCGACTGTCCTGTCAAAATTCCTGTCATCACCTTTGATTCGCCTCACGAACTGGAGGAACCCTCTGCCGATGATGAGAAAGAAGATACGCCGGTTTCAGAAGACAACTCGGTTCAGGAGAAGTCCGAGCATCAAGACAGTCTTCTTGCCAAAGAGACCATCAGTTCTGATTCTGCTCAGGAATGCAAAGAAATAGAGAGCAATGAGCACGAGATACCCAACCTGAGCCCCCAACTGACCAATAACAGCTCTTCAGGCATTGATGTCAACTCCCACCCTGATGAAAACGACCCTCCTGAGCTTAGACTGGATGCTGATGGATTCTTGCAAATTCCATCGGCATATTTGAGATGTACTCAGAGTGGAAGAACACACGCTAGGGGACTCAGTATCGACAGTGGACGAGA